GTCAAGTCTGATGCCTGTAAGAGCAATTTGTTCTTGTAAGAGCAAGCTGTGGAAGAATGTCCCATATTTTTTCCTCCATATTGATTGCTATTTTGCTATTTTCATTCCATTTTCTTCCTCTTTTTAATTAAAAAAAAAAAAAAAGGAAGAGTGGATGGACCTGATTTTTTTCTAGGAATAACAGTAAGGCATTCTGAAATAAAAATTTTCTTGCAGTTTCCTAAAACCGAACACAGCTCAGGTTCCAGTAGGAATCTGAGACTTGTGAATCTTGTTACCATAAGCTACATTTTAGCTGAAGAACAACAAGATGCCACCTTATTTCAGCCCTCAATATCTGCCCACCATCAATGACAGACAAATCATTTTTGCCAAACAAACCTATAATGTGAATCAGAGAGGACTGCACCAGGCTGATGGTCTTTTTTTGATGGCTTCATATATATGCTGAATAGATGAGTTCTTGTTAATTTTTCACCCTTTGGGATCTCTGAACTACCTAAAGGTGCTGACCTTTTCCATGCAACACAAATAAAACTGGCAATACGCAATGTTGAAGATAATAATGCATTCTAATATATCTACATTGTCTACCCCTATACTGAATTCATGCCCCCTATCCGTGTCTAGGGATGACAGATAACACCAGTTGTTTTATTTCAACTTTTGTCCTTCTGGCAAAATTAGAGCATCTAAAGAAAAAGACCAGTAATTATGATCTGCCTCCAAAGTTGCTGCTTTGAACATAAGTCCAGAAACAGCTGATGACAACCAGGAGTGGGTGCCTAGGAAGCATGAGAAGATGACAAGCATATAGGGATGCTCCCTCCAAGGACTTTTCTAGCCTGCAACACTTTGCAGCTCACCAACTCCTCGAGATATTTGATAGTCCTTGAAGAATTATGCTTGTGTGAATTCTTCCAGTCACACATTTTCTTAGCTCTGTATTGAGCAAGAAATGCAGCCAGTGTGGGCCACTCTTCTAGTTTTAGTGTCTGATCAGGCTGCCCTCCTAGATTGGTAGAAAGATGACCTTTTTTTCATAATGACTCAAGAGGTAGAAAGGACTCTCTTTACACGGTTGAATGGCCAAATTCACAGAGAAATAGCTGCTGTAATTCTGCTGGGATTTCATATTATCATTAATGATTTGCTAGAGCATTTGAAGCCTGCAATGCTATCCCTTAAAAGGATTTAAAATCTAAACACATTAAAAAACCTCTATATTCGCTCTGCGTGGCTTACGTTCCTATTTCCTGACACTACAGCCCTAATTCTTTTGACACTCTGAAGTCTGCCACTTGGAAATTATTAATGCCACCATCCCCAAGGAAAGCTATAAGCCCAAACCAGGAACTTTTACAACTGTGGTGTGAAAGCAGGGAGCATTCAGCTGCCATAGAAACATCTTTTGCTTGAAACTGTCTTGCTCTTTAGCTCGTTTTCATCTTTTTCTATCCATGGAAGTTAATTAATTACAGTAATTAACAGTTAGACTAAATCTATGCAGGCTAACAGAAACTTTGTTCCAGATGGACTCTGCTACGTAATGAGGGACAGTTGATAGTGGCTTTTTCCTTTTCCAGTGGAGTCCAGTGGTAGAGCACAGTTATGCCAGTTTGTGAAGAATGAAATAAAACAGTCTTTCATCCATACAAGTGAGATGTCTGGTGAGAAGTAACTAACATTAATTGGTAAGTGCAACGAAAATAGATGCATATTTTTTTTTGTCCATTTGTTATTATCTTACAAGCTTTCAGCCAACTTATTAAGATCATTTGTATAAAATTGATTTTTGTTTATGGTTTTATTGGATAGACAAACACCCACTGATGCTTATAGATGATCATCCTGTCACACAGTGCTCTCTGTGTATATATATATATATATAAAACAGCCACCCAAAGACCGCATGCCCTGGTAAATGCCTTAAATGGGACATGATTTTTATAAAAAATAGTTATGCCAATATAATGTGCCAGACAGACTTCCTTATTTCCAGATATACATGCCTTTTTTGTCTTGGATAGTGATACTTTGAACAATTTTATTACTGAATTAAAGCAAATGGATGTTGATCAACTTAAGTTTCTATAATTAAGATAATTGTAGCTGTACAAAGGGGAAAACTTTCTATGCAGCCACAGTGGCACCTGTCTCTGAGGCTGTATCTCCCATGTTTATTGGGAGGCAGCAGACTACAGTGCTGGTGAATTTGCCACTACCCTCACCCTTTAGATGCTCCTGTTTTTATACCCAAATGTCCCTCATCCAGTTCCCACTGTGTTAAGTTTAAATCACAAGTTCATTGGCACACACCTTTAATGAGCTAGCATGCACTCTTCCTGCTCCACTGTTGTTTACAATGAGGGATGTCAAAGAAAGAGAAAGGCAGCAAAATATACTCAAAGAGCTTTTTTAGATTAACAGTTTGGAGGATACTGTAAATTATAGTAGAAGCAAGGTGGGGTTTTTTTGCTTGCTTGTTTGTTTTTTTATCAAGCTGTCCTACAAGGTGTGCCACAGTAGGGAAAATTCTGCCTGTAGGAAAGTTAATGGGAAACAATTCAGCAGTTGCAACAGGAGCAGGATTTTTCTGATTATGTATTGTCCTGTTCCCATCCTTCCCACTCTGCCTCCTCTCCAGCACACATACAGTAGACAAAGAACAGTGCCTCTCTTATTTCAGCTGTCATTTCAAAGGAAGAAGACTGACTTAATTCCCTGTCACTGGGTCACTAAATTGCTTGGCGGTCATAAAGGATAAAAATTTTTATTGTTCAATTTAATTAGACAAGGTCCAGAATAAAATCATTTGAATTTTCTCATAACACAATCTCTTTGATAAAGGATAAAAGCTTATTTCAACAGGAAATCATGGCTTGAGTCACATCTGGAAAAACCCTAGCACCTCAAGTCACTGAAATAAAACTTCTTTGTGTAGTCAAATGCAAAACCTGTACTGATTTCTATAAGTAATGAGAGCAATATTGAGTGTTTTTTAGCTGTGTTGGGGTTTGGAAAAGAGGTTAAGATCCTAGCTAGAGAATGTAAAGAGGGCCTGGGAAAATTGAAAAATAGATTATGTTAATTGATTGTGGCTAAAGATGAAAGCTGTCTTTAGGATCTACCCTTTCTTTAGGATGCTGCAGAACCTTACATCTTCAACAGGCACTGTAACCACCATACAGCAAACTGTAAGTTTTGCCATCTTATAAAATCATTTCCAGGGGACAAAATGTCTGACCTGTTTATAGAAATGGAGGAGACTGACAGCTTGCCCATACTGGTGCAGAAGGATGCATGTTTAGATCTTCAGTGAGTTCATGCAACTCAAAATAGATCTGCTAAAGTTAGTGGAACTGCTCCAATGTACCTCAGCTGTAGGTTTGATCCATCTTTTCTCATTTGTTTCTGTAACCAGCCCCTTTTTCTTGATCCACCTTCTTTTCTCATCTACATTTGCCAGTCTAGTGTTTTGAATTTTTATGCAGTCTAGTTTCATTTACTGTTAAAAATGCATCTCCAGTATCAGGCGCATCATTTTCTAAGCCTTCATCATGCCAAGAGAGTTAGTAAAACATCAGTTTTTCACTTCAGTTCCCAACCCATATGTTTTCAAATAGCACTAGGGAAACATTTTTTAAAGGACAGACTCCAGAGATGTCTCCTAATATCATCAGCAATGATAATCAAAAGCTGCTTCTGCAGAAGCCTGTGGGATTATCAGTCTCTCAAAAGGAAGTTCAGCAGCTTTTCTTGCAGCAACATTTATTCCTCACCCTTCCAGCTCAAGCTATTGTTCACCTCAAGGTGTCGTCACCCTGGACAACTCCATTTCTGTATGTACTTCCTATTTAAGTATCAGGAGGGACCCTTAGTCCAGGGTCAGAACCCCTCCTGGCTTTCTAAGAAAAATGTAACTGAAATGATAATACCAGTTTATCACAGTTCATAGATGATGCGAGTTATGCCTTTTTTACAGTTGCAAAACACCTCTGTGGAAGTTTGGTTCGTTTTTTTCTTTGCAAATTTAGACATAATTTCATCTAGTCATGCAACTGTTAGGACTTAGACTCCTCCACAAAGGAATGCATTGCTAATGTCAAGGTTTTTTGGTTAATGCTGATCAGGCCCAGTGGTAATACAACCTGTTCATGTCCTGTGACTGGCAGTGCGCTGAGTGTTTATGAATATCCATGTAATGATCGTAATCTCTGCAAACCTTCCTGCTGCTGACCTCTTTGGCAAGGAGAGTAACATAAAGCACAAAGGAACAGGAATAGCCCTGTTGAAGAATTCAACTAAATACTGTCCAGAATTGAGTTATTCTCGTGGTTTAAACCCTAGCCAGACAGCTTGTTCACTCACTCCCAGTGAGTGGTGCTGGGCTCAGAGCAATCGAGGCCTGCCCACCCCCCCCCCCCCCCCCCCCCCACCTCGGGGCTCTCCCCTTCCCCGCTCCTGGAGGAATGGGGAGGAGGATCGAAAGAGTGCAACTCCCATGGGTTGAGACAAGAACAGTTCAGCAACCAATGTACAACACAAATCACCACCACTACCACCAACAACGATAAGAGAAAATAACTAGGGAAGGGAATACGATACCACTGGCCAAGAAATGAGTCCAACCCGGAAGCCCCTGTCCTTACGGGTAACTCCCAGTTACCCCCCACCCCGGGCATGATGTGCTGTGGTATGGAATACCTCTTTGGCTAGCCTTGGTCAGGCATCCCGTCTCTGCTTCCTCACAGCTTCCCCTCCTCCCTGGCAGAGCATGAGGCTCACAAAGTCCTTGGTCAGGGTAAACATCACTTAGCAACAACCAAAAACATCGGTATCACCAGCACTGTTCCCTGGCGGGAAGTCAAAACACAGCACTGCACCAGCTACCAAGAAGGAGAAAAATTACTGCTACTGCTGAACCCAGGACAGTTATCTACAGCAATCTCATTATATTGCACTCTGCCTACCATTTCCCACTATTTCTTATCCTCTCCCCATCTGTCTCATCAAAATATTCGACTTCCTTTTCTTCTTTCTCTTCTTCAGTTCCTTGGACAACATCCTCAGGACTTACTGCCCTCTTGTCCTTCCCCACAGGGTGGAAGCAGCTTGGCATTGCCTGAGCCATCAGGGTGTATCTAGCTATGGAGCCCAGCAGAGCCCCTCTGACAGCTGGAAGAGGATGACCGGTCCTTTCCTGCAAATGTAAAGGTGGTTATCGCCTGCTTTGTCTTCTGCCTACCTATTCTCAGGTAAAGCTCTCAGTGTAATTTAGTTAATGAAAAAATTCAACTCCATTGAATTTCTGTAGGGTTGAGAATATAAGCCCTTGCTTGGCCATGAAGGCAGCAATATAGTGAAAAGCAGAAGTAACCCTCCTCTGCAACCCTTCCCTGCAACCCTCCCCAGCCAGCCTTGCTGTCCTTAAACTTTTGGAAGAGGGCTTTGTGGTTGTCTTCAGCACCCACAAAGAGCCCGGGAGGAGAGGCAAACGTAGTGCAAAAGTAGTTGGGCAGGCAGAGGGGACCTGACCACAGCCCAGGCTGTGAAATTGAAATGTAAATTCTGCACCCTAGCAATAAATTTCACAGCAGCCTTATTTTCCTAGGAATGATGCCTTTGGCAGAGCCTGTGTGTTCCGGAAAGGAGCAGGTTTTAAATTTTCTAGAATTCCCTAATCCGCTTTATCAGCTGCTTCTCCCTAAACTGCTGCTACTCCCTGAGAGATTTAAAGCCACAGTGGCTTCTTCAAGGCCTCTTCCTGGTTATTATGTTTGTTCTCATCCAGTCAAGACAGAGAAACATTAGCATGTGATTTACAGCGTGGGACCAATCACAGATATCAGCACTCAATACTTGAAATTCAAGCAGTAGCTATTTGCAGCAAACTGGTCAGGATCAATCTAGGAATAAAAAGGAGGGCCCTACCTTTTTAGAAGGCAGTAGAGATTTGTCATTGAGGTCTGTCAGTCTTACCAATGCATGCAATGGCACTCACACAGTATTGATACATGTCCCTGTGCTGGGTTTAATTCCTTCCTTTTTTCTTTGTTTGTTGGTTGGTTGGTTGCTTTTTTTGTTTGTTTTAGGGGATGTTTGATTGTTTGGGTTTTGGTTTTGATTGGTTGGTTTTTTTTTTTCCTTGCAACCATTTGCTTTTCTTCTCATGTTTCAAGCCTTTGTATCTATCTGACAAGCAGGCAGTGGGTTCAGGACAGGTTTTCATTTCCTTTACCTAATGAAAACAAGTGAATAAAACATAAGAGAAATACCTTTAAATTAAAAATAGAGACAAAATAAAAAAGAAAACCAATAGCAGAAGGGAAATATCTTTCCCCTATAAAAATGCCTCTTGAATGGATGAATCTCAATTTAATTCTTCTAATTTAAGTATGCACTTATACCCTAATTAAATAAGGAAAAAGGACCAGCTGTGGCAGAAGAGAAATATATGCATATGTGAAAAGTCAAGACAATCCAGATAAACTTCTGATGGCATGACATATTCATGCAGAGTAGTCACTTTTCAAAACTGAAATTTTCTCCCAAAGCCCCCCAGTTTGTATTATTAATGACATTTTCCTTAGCCTGCATTACCATTTCCATCTGAGGGGAAAAAAGACAAAAACTTGTCTCAAGTTTGAAAGGACAAAGCGGTCTCAGAGCCACAAACATCAAATGCTTTTGCACAAGCCTTTGAATGGATTTTGTCTGCACGGCTTTGTAAATGCATAGAGTGAACAGCACTCCTGGCCTGAGACTGTGTGCTGGGGAGGGGCTCAGAGATGAGCTGCAGCCAAGTGGCAAACCTGGGTGGGGAAAAAGGCGTGGGAAAGGCACTTCACTACAGTACACCGCAACAGCAGCCCCACACAATGGGGCCCCTTCCAACCTCTAGGACACAGTCCTGTTTCACAGTAGCTTCAGTGAAGTGACTATGTTTGGACCCTGATTTAAATCAAGGGTAACACTGACTGCTAGGAGCTAATTTAAGTCTACATGGAAGGGTTGTGATGAGCTGGGTCATTTATAGTAGTTTCAGTTTGTTCCTCCAGGGTTCTGCTGGCTGCATAGAGTCTTGGATACCATATCCTAAACATCTGCCAATGACTAGCTGTCTCTCTTCTCTGTTTAATGCAAATATCCTGTAATTGGAGTGTCAGGCTTCTTGCTGCCACCACAGAGAAGGAGGATATGGAGGAGGAACCAGAAGAAATCCATCTTTTCCATAATGCATGCATGCAGTTCAGACCAGATTGGGCTGTTCAGATGTTTTCTTCCTCCTTTTCATCTCCTTTGTAGAGGCTCAAGCAGTTCCAGAACACAAAGATCTCCTTTTAGGGCTTCAAACCTATCAAAGATCCGCTGGGTCCACTGTGCAGGGAGACAGACAGGGAAGCTTTTTTGATGCATCTTTGTAATCTCTATGCTGCTGGCGCTTTGTGCATATCTTGTTAGTTGTCAGTGTGGGGGCACCTGCCAGAGGCTTCTCCTGGGATGTGAGAGCCAGGGAGCCTGTCCAGGCTGCCACTCAGTGAGGCAGGGCCTCCACCGGTTCACTCAGAAGGGGTGACAAATAGCTGGTGTTACTGCAGTCTCTGGTGCCTAATTGTACCAGGCAGCACAAACTTAAATATGATGCCCCCTCAATGAGGCACAGAAAGCACAAGCAGATGTCTGCTGTGATATTGTTAACCCATTTACGGAGCTGTTTTTAGGAGCCTGGGCAGTAACTGCCACTGGCTGTACTCCATATGGCCTCTGGCATTTCCCTGCTGGTTTATGGCTATAGGTGAGAACTGTGGTACCCAGAGGCCTGGGGCTTTTTTGCCCCCAACCTGCTTCTAGCAACAGTTAGGGGCCCTTAAATGAGCAATAAGAGGGTTCTTCAGTGCAGAAAAGGCCCTAGTCACAGCTATCTACTTAAGCCATCTGAAAAGAGGAGTGCAAGCTTGGAGCACCACAGGAACACATCCATCCTACTGCCACTTGCCCAGTATTGCTTTGGTGATGCATGAAGCTGCTCTGTTATGAGCTGATACTGCCTTAGCCCATCTTGGTGCCATTGTGTGTGCCCATCTGCCCTGTTTATTTTGTTTTCTTGCAGCCCTGATGGATGGAAATCAAATCTTTCTTTGTCACCTTACTCCATTCACCTTAATCTGAAAAGGTAACTGTAGCTACAGCCTTTGCAAATCAGCTTTACTGCTCTTCCCACAGCAAATACCATCTACTCACTGACTAGCCACAGGAGATTTTAATATTGTTTTGTTGTCTTCTTTAGACAGATCTGAAAGTGAATAAATCACTTGCATGTCCCACTGTTAAAAGTATCGATCAGATGTGTAAAGATTGGATGCTCACAGAGATGCGGCAAAATCTGCATCTCTTTTCTAAGATCACATTTTCTCCTTTCTTAAATGCAACATTTACAATTTTTATTTGGGAACCCATTTTAATGTCAGGTATTGTTGAAGTAAAAATTAACACTTGGAATGACCATCAAGTCAATGTTGACCTCTTTCCTGCAGTTGTTCTGATCGAGCCTTTAAAATATCCTCTCATGACTGGTCATATGCAATTTCCTACACCTATTTAAATAAATCTGACCTTGAAAAGCAATGAGCAAACAATGAGCAAACTCACAAATAGATCGTAGTTACCTTGGAGAGATGTTCCAGACCTAGCTGAAAAAATACAGAAGTCATTAGAAGTCATTTGTAGTCAGAAATGCAAATTAAGATCAGAACATTTGATTTGTTTTTAATACATAGCTAAATAAGATTTCCCACAGGCTTGAACAAATCATCAGTAAATCCAAATTTCAATAGAGAACAGGAAAACCGGAGTGAGTAACTCTTATGAAGTCTGGAGTATTTTACATCTCCTATTCATCTCTTCACTTTTTCACAATGTTGCCCAAAAAATGTTAGAATTCACATATTGGGGTCCAAAAATAGCTTAGGAAAAAGTACTAGATAAAAAGGTACTTCCCTGGAAAGCAAGATTTAAAAAACATATTCCATAAAAATTATTCACTGTAGGTGCTCCATATTAAGCTGGTGGTGTCTAGGTTAAAAATCAACCATTGAAACAGAGCTTTTATTTGTAACTTGGAGCAGGACTAGCTGTCTTTTTGCATTTAGCTGGTGCCAGTATCACTTAATTGCTGAAGGTTTGTACGTCATCATTTTGTAGTTCGAGGCTCCTATCCTATGATAAGGAATCCCTTAAGTAAAGGCCTAAGTGAAGATGTCTATCTGGTTTCTGCAGAAATCTGAACTGAAATAGATGTCACAGGCATTCGTGACCACAACAAACCTCAGGAAACAGGCATCAATAGCCTTGGCCTTGTACAGCTGACCCTATTTGAACTATGATTACCTCTCCAGAATTCACCCAGAATGTATTGGCAACCAGCATGAAGTATGAGCCCTGTCTGCCTGGAAGACTAATAACTTAGCTATGGAGATCGGCTTCCTGTGGTGTGTTACTCAAGTCTGCCTTTTAGGTAAGAACAAGCAATAATTTCCATGGGGAGTCAGAAAATGAATACAGCCCTGAAATGCACACCGAATTGCCTTTGCATTTAGTTGTCAACAAACATGCTAGTTATAAGATGGTAAGAGCACTGAAGTGTTTTTGTGTTGACTTCTTCATCCGTAGGGAATGATGATGCTACAGAGGTGATGAAAGGCACCCAAGTCCTTTCCTGAAATGACAAAGGACTGGAGAGCACTGTGGTACCTCCTCAAATTCACTTTTTTGCTTTATGTCTCCACCACATCATAAGCAACCAGATTCTGCCTGTGCCACTTGAAGGAGTGGGTTGAATGGAGTCAGCACTGGGTAACGCTGTCCATACGTGTGACTACACCTCTGTGCCAGTGGGCAGGGGCTGTACCAACACCCTTCTCAAGAAGTGGTAAAAGTGATAGTAACAAAGTAATGGCAGGTGTATAATAATGAGCATTTATTGACATATCTATTTGCAAGGTTCTGTTTTCTGAAGTCCAGCCACAGCTTAGTCCTCCCTCACATGCTCTGTCTTGCTCCCTCCCCACCCTTCTGCTGTTGGTTATTCAGACTTCTACAGGCAACCATAGAAGAAATGTAGGGTGCTAGCAGGATCTGCTGGGTGAATGGTGAACCCCAAGCAAACACACTGTTTACTCAGAAATATTTCAGGCTGTTTTGAGGAGCCAGGAGAA